CATCCGACCCCTTGGCAAGCAGCAAGCGCCGCACACAGTGCACATGGGCACACGGAGGTTCACAAAGTACTGTGCCTGCCACGAAATCTGCGCGTGAAGGTTCACAAAGTGCTGTGCCTGCCACGAGATCTGCACATGAAGGTTCACAAAGTGCTGCGCCTGCCACGAAATCTGCACATCAAGCGCCGGTGCCCAGCCGACGCCAGGGCGTACATCCGACCCCTTGGCAAGCAGCAAGCGCCGCACACAGTGCACATGGGCACACGGAGGTTCACAAAGTACTGTGCCTGCCACGAAATCTGCGCGTGAAGGTTCACAAAGTGCTGTGCCTGCCACGAGATCTGCACATGAAGGTTCACAAAGTGCTGCGCCTGCCACGAAATCTGCACATCAAGATCATCAAGCGCCGGTGCCCAGCCGACGCCAGGGCGTACATCCGACCCCTTGGCAAGCAGCAAAGTGCTGTGCCTGCCACGAGATCTGCACACGGAGGTTCACAAAGTACTGTGCCTGCCACGAAATCTGCACATGAAGGTTCACAAAGTGCTGCGCCTGCCACGAAATCTGCACATCAAGCGCCGGTGCCCAGCCGACGCCAGGGCGTACATCCGACCCCTTGGCAAGCAGCAAGCGCCGCACACAGTGCACATGGGCACACGGAGGTTCACAAAGTACTGTGCCTGCCACGAGATCTGCACATGAAGGTTCACAAAGGCGCGGTTCACAAAGTACTGCGCCTGCCACGAAATTTGCACATGAAGGTTCACAATGTGCTGCGCCTGCCACGAAATCTGCACATCAAGCGCCGGTGCCCAGCCGACGCCAGGGCGTACATCCGACCCCTCGGCAAGCAGCAAGCGCCGCACACAGTGCACATGGAGGTTCACAAAGTGCTGTGCCTGCCACGAGATCTGCACATGAAGGTTCACAAAGTGCTGCGCTTGCCACGAAATCTGCACATCAAGCGCCGGTGCCCAGCCGACGCCAGGGCGTACATCCGACCCCTTGGCAAGCAGCAAAGTGCTGTGCCTGCCACGAGATCTGCGCACGGAGGTTCACAAAGTACGTGCTGTGCCTGCCACGAAATCTGCACATGAAGGTTCACAAAGTGCTGCGAGTGTGCGAGACGTTGTGTGTGGGATGTTGTGTGAGTGATGTTGTTGTG